CTACTATGACCATCTAATTTGGCTTTTTATTATCCTGTTTTAACATCCCATAATCTGATTGACTAATCACCACTACCAGATGCTAAAGTAGTTCCATCACATAAAATAATAACTCTATAAAAGTTCTAGTATAATCATATAATCAGCTTATTATTATTTTGATAAATTGCGTTAATAGGACCTCAATTGGCACCAACCCAAATTTACAATCCCATTAATATTTTATATATATAGTGATAAATTTTTCAAATTTAGATATTTTTTTTTTCTATAGATTAAAAATACAAGTAATGCATTTGCTATGATGATTAAAAATCGAATGTTTTAACTTCAATAACTCTCAAATACAACATACAGCTATATTTTGTCTTGATGTTAAATAAAATGCATAAGATATTTTTGACTCATAAAACAATATAAATAAAAGTAATAGAAATTCATTATTTTTTTTAATAGATATTATGAATTGCACTTATCATATTCAAAACCAAGTCTCATTGATTTGTATAGCTCCTCATATATGCCAATGTCAAAGAAAGCTTTGTGTTGAATGCTTAGATGAACATGATGTGGATAAGAAATAAACTGTTTCGATCAACAAATTTTAATAAATGGCCATAAAGAAATTAAAAGAGTAAAAGCTAGATGAGACATCATCAACCACTAAACAACGAATGGCTTTTAAGAAAATGCTCTCAGATTCTTAAATTTAACTGAAAACAATTTGGGATGAGCTATCTCAATCCATTCAATTAATATATGATGAAATTGAAAAGGAAAACTAATCCTACATTACCCTCATCAACTGTAACATAACAGAAGTTTCCTATACAGATATTGAAAAACTTGTCTAAATTGTTGAGGGGGAAAAATTAATTAATTGGAAGGATAAGAAGAGTTCATATATGACATAGTTGGAAAAGACCAAGATTAATTGTGAAAAACAAATCTAAGGTTGCATTGAACAATTATAGACACAATTATAAGAGATTAAGCAACTAATTAAGTAAGATCTTTTTATTATATTCTAGGATTCAAACTCAAAAGGAAAAGGAAGAGGAAGAATCTTTTCTAAAGTTAGATGATCTTTTTTAAATATTAACTTCAGAAATTGATGTATCAATTCTTTAAGAAATACGAGGGGTACTAAAAAAGGAGAAAACTACAGACATACTTGGATATCTCTCATAGAAAACAAATTAATAATAAATTTACTCATCCTTATCAAATAGGGAGAATGTAGGTGATGTGAAAAAGTAAATCTCAAGATTGACAAATGTATTAAAAAATATCTAAAGTCATGGCTTTAGTTAGAATAACTATTCTTTGGAGAGTTAAGATAAGGTAAGGGGAGATTTAGTGAAATAGATAAATAAGAACTAGAGAATTATTGATTTACTAAAATTTTTAGTCCACCTCACTAGTATAGATGAGAGATTCATCTAATGTGGATCCAATTCTCTAAATCTATTGGTGGAAATGAAGGCAGATCTAAGTAATTAAAGTTGGGAAGACATTAGAATAAAAGATACATCTTTAATAGGTGGAAATTTTGTTAGATGTGATTTTAATGGATCTGCATTCGATGATGTTGACATAAGTGGAGTGAATCTAAATGGGGCTCTACTTTTCAATTGTAAGTGGAAGAACATTAAAATTCATGAACTAAATAAATTA